CCCCCCCCCCCCCCCCTCCCTCCCCCCACTTCCCACTCCACCAGCTCCTTTGAGTGAAATACAACCCTACTCTCTTATTGCGATTAAGCAAACATGTTTACCTTCGCTCCAAGCACCCAACCACTTCTTATTCTCCTTAGACTTAAGCCTGTGCCATCATAGACTCCGTTTCTCTCATGACGAGCGGCTTTTTCTTGAATATACATGAAGCAGCTTTTTTCATGAACTTGCTCTCAGTGAGGTCCTCAGTCTTGAACCATACCCCTGGAATATTTTCATGTATAACAAAATTTCGAATATAATTTATTTTGATAAAGTGAAACTAGTACACATATATACATTCTCCAGTTGTCGTCAACAAAACAGACACAACACACGCTTATCTAAAAATGAAAGAGAAGAAAAAAGGAAAAATGAAAGAGAAGAAAAGGAATGCGAACGAATTAGTTGCTGGATTATTCCCCAACATCACGGCTATCGAATAATTAAAGCAAGAGAAAAATTGAAATACGGAAACCCTGTACCGAGAAATTGTTACAATACGAAAACAGAAGCGAAAAACGAACATGTTACGGTTCCTCCATAAAATTACCGAAGATCGCTTCTTATCACAAAAACGTGCAACCTGTGCTATCGCGACTATGATCGCGAGGGAGCGGTACTGGCGAAAACTACGGGAGGGTACCTATGGCTACCCACCGACAACAAGTTAGCGGATCATATAAGCTAATGTACGATAATGGAGAGTAGCAAGAAAAATTGGGTTATGCAAATTTTCAGTCTACAGAATTTTCGCGACCAAGCAATCAGATACGGACATACTGGCTCTCAGGATCAAAGACCCATATTATCAGAAAACCATATGGGATTGAAAAGATTACCGAATTCATTACTACACAGTACTAAACCAAGATATTGGTCTTGGACAGTAAAAGAAGCTATAGAAGTTCTTCCTTTCACTCATCAAAAACCCCTCAGGAATAACACTAATACCGAACCACCCAAGAAAAACACGGCCTTCCGACATCCACCCAAATAAAATTCGTAGCATTACTCACAGGAGAGGTCAGGACGCCATGATACAATGCACCAAGTAAATCCCCTTGACATGGTCGAATGGACGGACAATACAGCGCTACCTTTCCCTTCAAATCTCCAAATAGCCTCTCATAAGATATGATAACTTTCACCTGTTCCAAGTTAGTTGAAATGCATGATCCATGAATTGGTGGCCGTTATTACGCCCTATCTGGGCCGTTTTTCGACCCGACAGCGTTCCTTGTGCTATCCTTAGGTGTCACAGGTTTTTTCACATCCCTGGGAGGAATCTCAGAAACCATTCCTATCGTAGATTTCCCAGCAAGGAAAGTAAGGAATGGACAAAAGGATATGTCATGAGTATAGAATTGGTTCATCTTCACATACAGTAGTTCCTTGGGAAATTTCAAAGCATTCCAGGGAAAATCTGGACTTCCGCATGCTCCTATAGTATCTTTTCAAAGCCCTAATAAATGTTCTCGACTGAAATCACAGGTTCCTCCAATGCCCAACAGGAAAGCAGTGGTATCCCAAAAACAGCAAATAGCTACACAATCACAGCAGATAACATACCAGAATACTTACGGGTATATTTTACCGTAAAGAAACCGATACCTAAGACGCCAAATAAAACTGGAAGGAAAAGCTCAGTCAGCACAACACTATACCCCCTCCCATGTTGAATTTCATGTGTACAAGTGCAGGAGAAATAATAATAAAAGTAATAAGAAAGAGAGGTAGAAGAAAATGTAAAAAAATATGATCAAAATATGATCAATACCACAAAGTATACTGGAAAATATTAGTAAGTAACTGTGAGAAGTTATTGCCAAGGAAATTGCTGTCTCCCACAGCTTTTTGCTTTCTTCGCATCGAATATCACAGCAAATTCGCTACTTATTAATAGGTGCCATACCACGAAAATCATTAGATGAAAAAATGGGAAAGATTGACTCATTTGGGAGCGATTCCCAGGTATTTTGCCACGAATACCCTTATTACAGACGTCAAATGATGGATAGTTGGATAATGCAGCGCCCCTTCGTTGTCGTGTGCTGTATGCCACACACGTGGAAATGGCACCGGAATTAGATGGAGAATGGGTACACCTAAAACGAACTTCTTGAAACCTTAATGTGGATTGTCCACCAAGGTAATCAAAAATAAAATGGTCGCATGATAGGGCTTACCTCTCCTCATGAAAGGAACATGATCGTCTTCGACAGCATTTAGGGTCAATCTTGATTGGAAAACATTAGAGGCTATATTAGCACAACCAAGACGACGCAATTCCGCTTCTGGAAAATAAGCGTATCCAAGGACTCACTTGAAACAAACGGGCCTAGCTAGAGAACAATCATTTTTAATATTGATGGTTTACGCTATAGGATTTCCGAAACGAATCGATTTTAGGTGATTCTTCATTTCTCTTCACCAGGCATCATCTCCTCAGACGAAGACCGAGTGGTGTAATGACCTTACTACACGCGCATGGTCCGAAGAACGAACCTTTCATCTTTCGGGGTCATAAGTTCGAGTACCAGAGTCGTCTGGGAGGCACTGACATGTACATCGGATGGTTACCGGCAGTCATTGTGTAGGCCATATACGCATTTGAAACTCTCAAACTGACTTAACTTCAAAGACTTTTTCCTCGATGTTTACCCTATTTTTACTAGGGATTCCTTAAGCCTTTAGGAATAACGCGCACAGTAAAACGAGAATTGGGCCACTCCCGAAAGCAGTGGTGTGCACAGGCTAGTCCTCTATACATTGTCTCTGTTTTTGAAGGAAAAGCAGGACTGCGACTAGTTCCAGAGAATGGTGAGTTTTTCATAACCACGAAATTTCGGGTTATCACATTCTACTGGCGAATTGAAAAGTTTCCTCACCAATGACAGGCAATTGGTCGAACAATCGAAATGCTCCTAATCCGGCCGTATTTGATATAATAGGATTTGCAGCTCCAAGGAGGTCGAGCAGCATGAGAACATCCTACAAGGAAATTTTTCGAAAAATACCTTTTGCTACGTAACAAACCAAATAATAGCTATGCAGGGCTGAAACAATTCAAAAAAAAAGGGAAACGCTCACAATCCTATCGATTTCTCGACTCAATTCAAAGTTTGTGCCGGTTGTTGTGGGATACCATTTCGATTCCCACTTTTTGGCAAGATGTCGTGACCCGTAGAGCGAATCTGCTTCGGTCCAATCTACAAACGCTTCTTCACCGTCAAAAAAGATCAGTTGCAAGGCGACATCCTATAACAAAGTCAGTGTTTGCAATGAATAACCCTTAAGTGTTGCCAAAAAAGGTGAGCATCTATTTAGGTGTACTAGTGAAGCCTCGAAAAAATATGAAAACTTTTATTTGTTTTTACTAGTCACAATGTATCTTCCTTGACGCTTTCGACAGAGCGATTAAGCCAAGCCATTATCGACAACGCATTGCCGTTTATTTATTAGAAGACGCCAGATCTGGATAGTGGGTGGGCCAGAGTAAGCCATTCCACGCTTTCAAGTTTCTTCAGAGTCTCCTTCGCGAGATATACTCTCCACTGTTTCTCTCGTAGAGCTGCAGCAAGCCCGAGACGATGCAAATGGCTACCCACTGTACCGTGATGGCTATTGAACACCTGTGCCCAGCTCGCTACTACAGCACCTGGAATCCTCTTCAACAAGCTCCAAAAAATGGTCGTCACTCAACTCATCCGGTCTCCCAGATCGTGGGTTTTCGGTCATGTCAAAGTGACCATTTTCAAATTAAAATGCCAATTTTTGCCTTGTCGTAAGAGAGGTGGAGGATCTCGTCGTATCACATATTTTCCTTGTCACACGGTTTGGATTGTCGCTTTTTCCCGATTCATAAAACAGAAGCAGATGTTGTAAGAAGCGCATTCACCTCTACTGATTAAGCTTTGCAATGAGGTTCCAGAGCAATCTTCGAAGGTTCGAATAGAGGGAACCGAAAATGCGCAAAAACTCTTTCGACCACCCGGTATAATGCTCGGAAAATTGGTAGCACGGATTGTACTCGAGGAAGGTCTCGCCAAAAGCAATAGAGGCTATGGAGGGTCACTTTATTGCAATTTTGTTGTCAAAAAAAAAACATTTGTAACAGTTGAACCTGGAATAGCGACTGTTAAAAAATAATGACTTTCGGGAGAAACAAAATAAATTTTGTACGTACCGAGGCAACTCGTTTATACATATAGGGCGTGAGCGACATAGCTATGTCCATTATCATCGCGCATGGCACGGCTGAATCCGTAGCAGCATACATTACCTGCCTGAATGCACTATTGCTATGTATAACACAAGTATGGCTTAAATACAGTATTGATTACTTCTTTCTTACTTTAAGTGATGGAAAAGGAATCTTCAAGACTTTATCTCTGAGCCTCATCCAATCTTGATTTGGAAATGGGCTTTTCGAATTTTTTATCATAGTTCTATCTTCCTAGTGAGTAGCATTAGAAGTTTGATGCCTTCGTAGAATCAAGATAGCAATAGTTGCATGCAATTATTCAATCTTCAGTTCGAAACTCATCGAAACGAGCTTCCAGAATTCCCTCTTCTAAATCCCACACTAAATATTTACAAAACCCTAGAATCAAAGAGTGGAGCGTTTTCCCTTCATTGCTTGAGTAGTCTGTGACTGGAAAGATTGTTGTGTGATAAAGCAAGTACAGAATTCGCCAACGCTATGCTGTGCTTATCAAGAAAAATATTCAGGGATCTTGTAGCCACCTCTAAGTACATTTCTCCAGGTCCTCTGCATTGAAACAAAACCAAATAGATAGTCTCACAAGTCTCTTATTACTTGTTTAGGTTCATCATCTTATTCCTACGTCTTTTTTAGTGACAAGTGCGGGTTCAAGTCCCGTCCGAGACTG